AAACAGAGTGACATATTCTGTATACGGGAAAATATATTTCCTGCATGAATACTGTTTCGTATTTAAATAATTAATTGCCTAAAATTTTATATACATGTTGAAAGATGAAGATATTTTAACATTTAAAGAGGAAAAAGAGAATGTTAAATTTAAGCTTTTCTTAATTAAACCAGTTAACTCTAATTTGCACGAACCTTCTTGTCAATTAATTTAATGACAATGGGACATTTTTACTAACTTGAAAATATATACACAATTAAAGTAAAATGATAATATTTCATTTTAAAAATATACATCTAGACGATGTGTGCCAATTTAGCAATAATGAGAAACATGCATTTGTTTTTATGAAAGCGGCCAAAAAACGTAAGTTTGTTATTGAAGTTACAGAAAAGTTTTTAATACAAAAGTTTTAGCTTTTTTATGAATTTTTATAATACAGTATTAGAAAAAAGAATTGAATGATGAAAATCACTAAATGTAAGATTTTTTTTAATGGGACACCCTATATATTAGTGCATAGTTAAATTTTTCTCTTTTCAAAAATATATAATATGTTAGTGTTTGATTCAGGACTTTTCAACATATTTCAGTTTAAATATTTTTGAAAAAACAGTAGGGAAATTTATGTCTGACGGATCGCGGTGGTACAAGGCACGCGGAACAAACAAATGACTTTTACATAAGTTTATTTATCATCATTAATTTATTTCCTGTAACAAACTATTTTAACAGAGAAATAATGTTTAGTGAGAACGAAAAATTTGAAGTTATCCATTTATTTTATGATAATAATAAAAATCATTCTTAACTTTAACAGAATTTTAATACCTAATTAATAAAAACCAACTAAAACACAAATGATCAGAGATGCTCAATGTGACCGTCATTATTACTGATGCACTTTGTATAATCCTCATTAATTTTCAGAACGGCATTTAGTATGAAATGGGAATTAAATTCACTTAAATTTTTTATACATTAATCAACTTTATGTCTTAGTTCATCTAAGTCTACACTAGTTTCCTTATAAACCTCGTTTTTTAAGTAACCCCACAGAAAACTGTTCAAAGGTGTAAGGTCTGGGCTATTTGAAGGCCGTTGAATATTTCCTCCATTACCAATTTACAAATCAAACCTATTATTTAAATAATTTCGTACTGCTCTGGTTCTATGTGGAGGAGCTCCGTCTTGGTGCCAAATGATATTGGTAAAGTCGATCAGCGGCAGATCTTCCAATTTGTTTTCTATTTGATTTTCAAGAAAATGAAAGTATCTGTCCCCCGTTAAAGCACCTTCATAAATTAGTAGATCAATGATTATAGGTTTATCTCTTACTGCAAAGTATACGATGGTATGGTCGGATAATTTATTTCAATAACAATTTATACTTACTAATTTTTAGAATATAAATAGTAAAAAATCAATGGCAATGATTAATTTGTAGCCAAGTGAACTGGCAATCCTATTGTAATCAAACATTTTTCTCGGTATAGGTCCATTGATTAAAGCTTTAACAGAAATGGTCACTGCTAATGACATTTATTTCCGTAATTAACGTTATTGAAATGAAACACAATTACTAAGTGGTTTCATTTGATGTGCTCGTAGCTTGTTAACTATTCTAATTATACCCCGATATATCACATGTTCCTGTTACATTTTGGTATTTCTTGCAGTGTAGAATACTTTATTTTTTATCATAATACCGAGTACGAGTGTACGCATATACATGTGTTCTTTTTTTTTTGGTGAATTTAATTTAAAAGTATAAAACAGCTGATGATTTATAAAATGCCCGGAAATTAATTAACCATGCTTTAATGATAGGTAGTTGATGATTTATAAAATGCCCGGAAATTAATTAACCATGCTTTAATGATAGGTAGTTGATGATTTATAAAATGCCCGGAAATGAATCAATCATGCTTTAATGATAGCTGCTCTGGATTGTTTCCTCTCCTTCGGACTATCATAGAACGGACTTCAAATTGATTTCTGCAAGCATGATTGACTCAGCTGTGGACTAGGAGCTCGTGCTGGCTGCTCAAGCAGTTCACTTCATTCTGGTAATTCTCCAGAGACTTCTAGTTAGTGCAGTCCCATCTACTCTTCAGTGTTGTCTTCTGCTGGAATCATTAGGACTCTATCTGACGGTCGCTCTGTCCATCATCTTAAATCGTCGATTTGTACTTTGTATTTTACACCATTTCTGTCAACTTCGTATCCAGTGCGGCTTAGTCCATGTTGGTCTAAATTGAGAATGTGCACCTGGAAAATTCCTAGTCAGTATTATGTCGTTGACACGGACTTGGATTGAAGTCTCGCAATGATAGGGGACGAAACAACAGTTAAGGGCGTCTTGGTGCTAGCGGATGTGTTGCAGTAGGACTTCACGATCGGCAAGTCAATTCTTCATTGCTCTATTTACCTTAGGATAACTCCATTACCTGAACCTTACTAATTGACTACCTACAAAAGCTTCTACCGGCGTTACACTGATTGCATAATGTATTCGTGTTCGTATAGTAAACAGTATTTGAATAACAAACCTACCGATTCTCTAGACAATGCTCAATATGAACTCGTGGCAGCTTCTTCCTGGTTACGTATTTCCACCAGATTTGCACGTTGGTGATACAATGGTGTTGTATAATATGCAACGTTGTGACTCCTGTAGAAACGCTTCCATATTGCACTTCAAAAAATGAATGGATTGTTCGTTATCGACTGGGCTGGATATCTCCATTTGTGATTTATTTGTCCCAGAAACCGAATAACCTTTGTCGTTTTCGCATTCACCACGACCTGAGCTGCAACCCATTCATTACATCGTAGCTACCAACTTGCCAAGATCGTCTTTGTGGCTGTAGACGAAATGGAACCGACGCGACGCCTTATTCGTACCACCCTTTTGCATGGAAGCACAAATCAAGAAATATTTTAAATACGTTCTGGCTTATCTCTTAAAATCTGGCAAGTATATCTGGAAATTGAGACGTTTTATTTCTAAGAGTATCCTGCCGTCTCGGATTCATTACTCAAATATTACTCTTCGACGATGTTAAACAATACTATAAACGTCCTCCGATATTCCGGTCCATGATGCCATATTAGACCATCTTCGATCACGTACTAATCCCTTAATGCCCCCTGCCAGCTATCTAACTTCTAACGCCTCTTCGAACGTCTAACTTCTTCATCACCATCTAGAAGTCTTTATTTTCTCATTTTGAACGTAAAGTGGCTCTTATCATCTAACTGTTAAATGGCCTCATGAAAGCATTGGTACGGGATTTGATGAGCATTTACTAGCCTTTCCTGTATTCACTTGGTTCAGTTCTAATTCAGACATTGGGTTAGCGAGTCTTGGTGAACACGATTGCAGAAGACTTTCCTCGTTCATTTCTGATACCACTGAATTTAAGATCTTTTAGCTGTATAGTGCAGCATCAAATTGGTGGTGAGAGCGTCGAAAAATACTTTAAGGTAGTCATTTAAAACGGCTTTGTAATGTAGTATCCATTCCGGATGCACATTTTCCTGCTTCGGTATTACGGGTTCCTGACTAGCCCGTTTGAGCTTCACCAATCGCCAATAGTCACATGTCTTTATTTAATACCAAAATATAAACCTCGTTGCTTAAAGTCAATAGTCGTCTGCTGTTGCATCAATTCTCAGAACTAACTCCTCTTTCATTTGGGGGGCTACATATGCAGTCGCTGTTGTGGCGTGGTTGTTTACTTTAAATTTCCATTTGCGTTTCTTCGGTTAACATTCATTGGTATTTATCTTACTGTATCAAAGTACGTGCTGTACCCGTATTCACAAAGGCTATGAGCATCGTATTTCTATAAATCGCGCCATGATTCTTGATTACTGGTATCGGGACTTGCTTTGAATTTAGTGGCGATGGGTGGTCGATTCAACGTCGATAATCATCTGGTCACGGCCTCTGTCGCGCTTCCCAATTTTTTTCATACTTCAGACGCTGACAAGGCTTGTAGATTCCAAGACATTTTATCCCAAACCCCTCTCCTAGGACAGTCGCGACTAAAATATTCTCCGTCACAATACCTACAGGGATACGGGAGTAGTCCCGTCCTTCTTCTGATCTGTGTTTCTTCATCGCCACATCCTCTTTCTTCTGCAATTGGTCATATAGTTGTGCCTGTACCGAGGGTTATATTATAGAAGCGAGACAAAAACTGCTGAAGAAATTCTTTGCAACTTCTGTCGAAGTAATGATACGGCTGATACCAGTTATAGACTATATCACGCAATTGTTCGGAAGCCACGCGTGTCCATTCGCGCACGTCCAGGTTATCTTGCTGACTTGCAGCTTCGATATTTATCAAGAACTTTTGTGGATTTTGGTAATTCTCTGCTTCAAATCTAGAAACACCACTGGTTGTATCATTCTATTTAGATGTTGGTCTCAAGGGTTTTGCAAAATTTCGCAGTATTTCTATCAAAGCAACATTTTACCTACTATAATATATATTCCTACATGCTTTACTAAAATGCGCCGTTCCAGATTTTTTTTTCTACACATGTCAATCTAATAAAACTTCTATATGTTGATTTGTAAATTTACATTCTGATTTAGAGCCATATTCAATTTTCGATCTTACCAAAGTATATAGCTTACTAGGTATAGATATTACAAAAAGCTTACAATATCATAATAAATTCTAGTTTTCAATGAAGAAATAGTGATGTGATTATTAAAACTTAGTTTTGAATCAAAGAAAGTACCTGAATTTTTAACTATTCCACATGATTAACTGAAGATGAACATTATATAGAATTAAAACTATTAAATGAACGTCAATTCACAAGTTTTCCAAATTAATTTGAAATAGTTGAGAGCCGTCTAAACAAGTAACTTACTTGTAATTCAATTTTATTTTCGTCTCTTAATATTAAGTTGTTATGAAATGACATTATTACATTTCTCCCCTTTATATCCGCAGGAAACTAATAAAACGACTACTTACGCTTCTATCGTGGTAATTGCTGTAGGTGTTGTGGAAGAAAAGTCCAGCGATCAGAGCAGCGATGTTCGCAGTGTAACTGGCGACGAAGATCACAGAAAAACCGCCCCAGACGTTGATTAAAAACTTATTCGGCCAACTCTTGGGGGCTTTGAAGGCAACGAGGTGGCCGCACAACAATCCCCACATTACCCAGAGAGCTGAACTCATGCTGAAGTTCTTGGACCGCTGGCGACCCCAGGGATTCAGGCCGAAGGGGCTCAGCCACTCGTATATGGCGACGGCGATGGCGGTTATGTTTAGGCCTGTACAACACAAATTACGATGTACATATACATCGGCAAATATCTGGTACACTCAAATTGGTAAGGACTGGTAGACAATTGAGGGGACATTTCAGGTGCGTACTTCAACAATTTCGTTCGTTTCTCATAAAATTCAAGAAATGTTAAAATTGGAAATTCCTTTTTAAAATGTATTTTATTTTTTATTATTACTGTTTTTTTTTACTTTAAATATATTAAGCTAATTCAAACTAATTCTAAAAGTTTTAATTTCGAAAATGGTATACTTTTGACAATTTCAACAAAATTATCATTTTTGTGTAAAATTAAATTAATTTTAAAAATTGTTTTCTACAAAAACAATAGATTTTGAACATTTAGTAACTGTTTTAGTTTGAATAGCATCGATTTTAAACATGTTTTTTTGTATGTGAATTTTTTTTATTTCCATAAGAAATGAGTTTTGTCATAGTATTCAGTAGCGTACGCTATACATTTCTATAAATCTCAGTTTTTCAAACGTAACCCAAAGAAATTATTTTAAATGGCAGATTTTAAGTGTACCATGGATGTATTTGATGTATCAATAAAAAAAATACAAGGCATAATTAATTAGCAAAATAGCAATAGCAGAAAGTAATTTTGGGTTTCTACAGGATGTTGCGTTTAAATCTCCTCAGCTTGGTCGAAAACCAAAAAAAATATTAAGTGGTAAAGAAAATGTGTGGCAAATAGATACGACTGATTTTTGAATATAAGTGACATGGTTTTTGAAAAATAATCGATTTTGTAGATATTATATGAACCTAAAAGTTATTATAATTTCTTTAAAATTAGTTTTAAATAACCGGTTAAAATAGTAATAAATTAATTAATTTTATCCAGTTTCCTCTTTGATCGGAATTTGTTTTTCTATTTTTTAATAATCTTTCCTATTTTTCTGTTATTTAAAATTGTTATTTCAAATGGTGATCGGGTATAACTGAATCAATAAAGTAATCTGTATGCTCGTCATACATAACTTCGCATCTTCTTCTAGCTTAAAAAAGCAATATATCAAACAGAAATTGAAAAATACTGATTCATGTACTGATTTATATAGCGACCAAAGTGTATACAAGATTATGCAACTTAATAAAAAAAAGTTCCAAAGCTAATACTGCATAAGCTTTAATCGACAACCTAGTTTCGTAAATTGTTACTACTGTTATACAGGGTGTTAATGATTTTATGTCAAAAATTTAAAGGGGTGAAAAAGGAGCAAAAGCCGAGTTAACTGATGTCACAAACTTGTATTGGAAGTTTAAGGTAATAGAGAAAAAAGCTAATTAAAAATGTATTTAAAACTGTTTTGGAACTGCTGAAATACATGTATTTTATCGCGGCGAGTACTTTCTGTACATTTTTTTAGAGTTTGTCGGTTTCTTATGAAGCCGGACTGTATTAGAAAGTCAGTATGTAATACATTGTTGTAGTGATTGCTGTGCTGTTTTTGGAGAGTACATTTAATAGCCGTATTTCCATGTTTTCTTTTGAAAATGGCGCATTTATTTAGCAATCGCGAATATTATGATATGCTCATAATTTATGGCTAAGCAAACGAAAATTCCCACAGAGTACTTAAATGTACCTGAATGACGTGCCGCCGCACCAGAAATATTGTACAGCAAGTAAATATTTCGCATTCTGTTGTGTGGTGGACATTACGAGAAGCTCAGTTGTACCCATTTCATATTCAACGTGTTCAAGCGCTTACTCCTGAGGATTTTCCACTGCGTCGAGGTTTTTGCGAATGGTTGCTTCAGGAACATGCAAGAAATCCTCAATTTACAACGCAAATAGTTGTTAAAAATGAAGCATATTTCAGTCGAAATGGTGTACGGAACGTCCACAACACTCATCACTGGATTATCGAAAATCCACATGAAATACGTAGCGGTGCCTTTAATGACACTTTAATAGGACCTTTTGGATTGCCTAGACGCTTAGATGAAGGTGCTTCATATGTAGATCTTACTCCTTTAGACTTCTTTTGTGGGGATATATGAAATGTGTTGTGTATTTCACAGAAGTTCGTGACATCGACCGACCAACTGCGACATCGTATTGCCGATTCGATTAGAGAGGACGTGGCAATGTTGCAACACGTTCGAGCGAATTGGATACGTCGCGCTGAACCTTGTGTGCAAGCAAATGGTGGGTACATCGAACATTTTCTATGAAAATCAAGGTGGCTCCTTGGAATGTTGAGGTAAATCAAATTTTAAAATTAAATTTTACTCAACACAAATCCGTGTATTTACCTCATAACGGACATGTGGCAAAAATATATGATATAAGTCCATTAACACCCTGTAGAATTGCTTAAAATTTAACAGTTTTCCACAAAGGGCACTTTCTAAAGTGTTAGAATTTTAATCATTTACGCATATGACTATTATACATTTTTACATAACCTAGATGTCTGCATTGGTTTTTGAAACATCAAGCTGGAAAGTTTTAAATGGAACACTCTCTATATTTAAAAAAAAATGTTTATGTAAATATAATGTATTATTTTTTTGGAAATTAAAGATTGGAATAGCTGCGACATTCTTAAAATTCTTTAAATTGTAATATTTTTATAAATAATATTAGACCTATGTGTAAATGTATAGTATTCAGTTGAATGACTATACATTTTTGATATACCCATATAAAAGAATTGACTTTACTGCCTCCTATTGTTGAACTGTTCCTTCGCAAAAGTTTGTAGGTATGGATTTCATAAAAATATCGATTTTCTAAATTTGTTCAGTTGAAATTGAAATGAAAACGAAACAGAGCCATTTTCAGGAACTGCGTCAAAATTGTAGAAAAACGCTCAGACTCATCGATTTTAGATTAAAGGGGGACATTCTTTGCTGGTATGTTTGACTCCGCCACTTTCACCCCCATGCAAGGGTAAGCATCACCACAAAATATTTAAATGGCATTGGGGGTTGAGTAATATTTCCTTTGATTTTGATTCTCTTCTGAGATGTAATTTGACTGGCCAAATGTATTTGCAATTACTGGAAGACGCTATTGACACTGCCTTGACTGATATTAAAAATGTTACAGAGTATGATGAAAATCATTTCGATTTTTCAACAGGACGGTGCTCCTCCGCATTATGCGTTAATTGTCCGTCAGTATTTGGACCAACGTTATCTACGGAATTTGATTGGGAGAAAGTATTGGGCGGAAATTGGGAGAAAGTATTGCGCGGAATTATAAAATTTAAAGTCTGTCTGAGAATTGTAAGAGCTTTCAAAATAAATACTACTCAACTCCCAATGCCATTTAAATATTTTGGGGTGATGCTTACCCTTGCTTGGAGGTGAATGTGGCGGAGTCAAAAATACCAGCAAAGAATGTCCCCCTTTAATCTAAAATCGACGGGTCTGAGCGTTTTTCTACAATCTTGACGCAGTTCCTGAAAATGGCTCTGTTTCGTTTTCATTTGTCCTCCCTGTATATAGAATTGTTAACTTGAAAACGTTTTTAAAATTATAATTTAAGTTGTATAAAATTTAAATAATAAAAATTAATAAACGAATCTTCAGTAATTTTATTTTTATTCTTACTTTTCTACAAATCCCATTTTATCGAAACTCTGGTACCTAAAACCTCTAATACGGAGATTTTTTCCAAAAATACAGCTACCCTAAAGTAAGGAAAAGTACAAAAACTGATTTAAAAAGATGTAATTTCATAAAATTAAGTAGTAATTAATTTGTTCAAATATATTCTCAAAGAAATAGTCAACTTTATTGGAACTAAAACGTTTCCTTAGTGCGAGTGAAAAATGCGTTTGGCTAGTTTTTGTTCCCAGTATCAATATCGTCCGTTGCCCTTAATAGAGAAATGGCAATTAGGACACGTCTTAGAAAAAACTGCAAGGGAGCAAGATTTAATTACTTGTGAAAATGGCAATCCATAACTCCGGCGAGAAGGGCAGCAGAAAGGCCATGAGCGGGATCTCGGACTTCTGTTGGGGAGCCGCTAAAAAAGATACCCCGCTGAAAAAATACGGGGAGCTGAAGTCTATAACTTCGCTTCGGGCGCTGGATACGCTCAGAGCTGCGAAGGACATGTGAGCTGCTCCGGACACTAAATCTCCCACAATCCCATTCCACTTTACGTCGACTTCATCGCTATCGACCTCTTTCACACGTTCCGTCTTTATTAATTCCTCCTTGAACCTGTAAAAGTAAATAAGGAATTATTAGCTGCCGTCCGGTTTGTCTGCAATATCAACCAGATACAAAACTTTTTTACGTGCATTTGTAAAAATAATAAATATACAGGCTGTCTACTATAAGAGGGTCACTCCTATGTATCTCGCTTAATACACGAAGCACGTCAAAAATCTTTATATGTTTCTTGTTGCATTTTTTAGGGCACCAAATTGTTTTTAAAACCAATTTTGGGTTCCTTGGCCACTTTTTTGGGATTTCTTAAAAAACCGGAAAAGTACCGAAAGTTTAGGGTCGTCTAACTTTTTTATTTTAAGAGATAGAGAAAACTTATTTTAATAAAATTTCATGGCAAAATTGATACCTTTCATCTGGTGCAAACAAATTTTTGAAGTATCGTATGTAACTTGCTGCACCCTTCTACGCGGGCAAAAAAAAATGTCATCGAAGCAGGCTGTGGGTACAAAAAACTTTCTTCCTCTTTCATGCTATATATTACATGTTGCCTTTATCTTTTATATTTATTACATTTTTATAATTTTGGTATCAAAGATATGGATTAATGTATAGAAATTGTTTTAAACAGTCCAACTACAAAAAATTATAATGTACTTTTTTGAAGCTAAGAATCTGCAATATCTGGCACCCATCAGTTTACCATTATAAAAGTAAGGTCCGATGATTTTGGTATCAAGAATTCTAACCCAAACGTTTACTGAAAACCTCTGTTGAAAAGCATTTTCTCCGTGCCAATGTAAATTACCAGTTCATTCGAAGTAAATGTTCCTAGTAAAAAATCCATTGTTACAAAAATTGGGCACATCTGACCAGAGAATTCTTCTGCATATAAAAGGATTTTCCCTCTTTCTTTCTTGTCACCACCTACAAAACCTCAATCTCCTCGGTTTATCTTCCTCCCTCAAGCTCATGAGGTGCACCCTTTTCACCTTATAACATTTGAAACCATTTTTTCGTAATATCCTTCTTGCACTATCCTTCTCTAAATTGTAGTTCACTTCAATCTCTCACTGTTTTGAACATTTTCCTATTTACATAATTTAAAATTCTGTTAACATTACTTATTTTATTAACAACAACTGGTTTTATTAGCGAAGGTTTTCTACATTCCGCAAGTGCTTGAATAGAATTAAAATTTTTCATTGATAGTACAATACAAACATATTACACTTCTCAATATGTAAAAATATCATTATTATTCAAAATTTTAGTTTTTCAAATCACTGTTACAGTTAACTGTAACAATTTCCAGTTATGTATGAATTATAACAATAAACAATTTGTTAAATAATGGCATTACTGGGATAACACATTTGCTTTCATAGCGTGCTGCATTTAGCGTACCTTACCTACTTTGTCTGTGCAAGAACAATGTTGAAGGCTCAGTTTTCTCTAAAGTAAAAAACCAATATTATAATAATGTATGTATTTTGCTTAAAAGAAGTACATTATATTTATTAATTTTTTGTAGTTGACACGTGTCTACACCAATTTCTACGTTAACACGAAAATGTTTACATTTTTTATACCAAAATTATAAAAAAATGTAATAAATATAAAAGATACAGGCAACATGTAGTACATCGTCTGAAAGAGGAAAAAACAACCAATTTTTTTGTACCCACAGCCTGGCTTCGATGACAATTTTTTTTTTGCCCGCGTAGAGGGCGTAGCAAAATACATAAAAATTTTTAAAAATCTGTATGCACTAGGTCAAGATATCAATTTTGCAATGAAATTTTATTAAAATAAGTCTCTTAAAATCAAAAAGTTAGACGACCCTAAACTTTCTTTACTTTTCCGTTTTTTTTATGATTACTCACAAAGTCGGCCATGGATCTCAAATTTGTTTTTACGAGCATAAACACCTCAAAAAATGTATAAATATTTTTGACGTGCCAGGAAAATTGAATAATTTCAAATATTTAGAATTTTCACCAGCAATATATGTTTTTAGCCACGAAAATTGAATAATTTCAAATATTTCGATTTATCACCACCAAGAACGGAGGTAACAACATTTTTAACAGTAAGGCGATGTTTCGCATTGTATTAGCTATGTTCAGTCCAAATTTTGTTCGTGCAACTCTCTTGGTTTCGACAATGCAATACCTATGTATGTTTTCAGCCACTAAAATTGAATAATTTCAAATTTTTCGAATTTTCACCACCAAGAATGGCGGTGACAACATTTTTAACAGTAAGGCGATGTTTCGCATTGTATTAGCTATGTCCTGTCCAAATTTTGTTCGTACAACTCTCTTGGTGTCGACAATGCAATACCTGTGTATGTTTTCAGCCATGAAAATTGAATAATTTCAAATATTTCCAATTTTCACCAGCAATGCTTATACAGGGTAGCCCATCGAAAACGTACCGCAAGGCATTACAGGGTAGTAAAGAACTTTTCGGCAAAATCCAAAAACAGGTCAAATTTCTTTCTGAGGGGGACAACTTTTGGCTCAAAAAGCATACCAAAATCTTCAACCCCCTAAGTGGGGGTGCTATCCCCTAAATTTTTTCAAATGGGAATGGGGGTCAAGTGGGGGGTCATTAGAAAGGGCTTTTAATTCTCTATACATCGATTCTTACTTTTTGAAAATCGATTCATTATTTTAGAAAATATGCAGCTTTGAAAATACGAACAATATTTTTGACGAGAAATGCGAAAATCGATTTAATTTTACTTCAAAACTTACGGTATTAGTCAAGTAAATGCTGAAAATGTTGTCCGCCAACTTGCATACAATGATACAGGTTGTCTTCAAACCGTTGTCGAACATTCTGGAGCACTTGCGGTGTTACTTCGCGACATACATTAATGATTCGTCCTCGCAGATCTTCCAAGGTATCAGGTGGAGTGCTGTAAACTTTGCTTTTAATGTGCCCCCAGAGAAAGAAATCTAAAGGATTTAAGTCGGGTGACCGAGGGGGCCACTCAATTGCACCTCTTCGTCCTATCCAGCGTCCTGGAAACGTCTCATTTAGGTAATTGCGCACATTGAGCGAGTAATGTGGAGGAGCTCCGTCTTGCTGGAAAATCAGTTCGTGTTCATTGTAAGCAGGGTCGTCCTCTATGATATTTGTTAGAGCTGGGTCGATGACATTTTGTAGTAAATCCAAGTACATATCGCCTGTCAAATTTCCAGGAAGGAAAAAAGGACCTACAATGGAATTTCCAAAAATACCTGCCCATACATTCAACTTCTGGGGGTGTTGGGAGTGTGTCTCATGGAAAATCCTTGGATTGGTATCAGCCCAGTAACGACAATTATGGCGATTCACTAAACCATTCAAGAAGAACGTACACTCGTCCGAAAAACACACATTAAAGAGGAAATTATCGTTTATCGCTCGTTCAGTCATTATTTCGCAAAATTGCAAACGACGATCAAAATCGTCTTCATTTAGCTCTTGCACTAGCCGAATCTTATAAGGATGGAATTTGTATTTTTTTAATATTCGTTGGACACTTGTACGACTCACTCCTGTCGCAGTAGCCAATTGCATTGTACTCAGCGTACTATCCATTGCCACTTGCCCCAATACCGCTATTTCCGTAGGTTCATTTAGTACCGGATTTTCAACCTGCCTCTTTTTGTTATGAACGGAGCCAGTTTCGCGAAATTTGGCCACCAATTCGCGAACAATTTTTCCAGACGCATGTTTCTCAGGATGCCGTTGGTTGAACAGTTCGGCGACCCGATTTCCGCATTCATTGTTTTTGAAAAAAAGCTCAATAATTTCTACTCTTTCTGGAATTGAGTACACCATAATTAATCAATTTAAAAGACTCGGCAGTATTGGTACTCTTCAACTACAAGTCACAAGACAGTTATCTAGCAACTTCTTGTGGCCTATCTAAATACGAAACAAAAAGCGGACAATTTTTTGCTCACCAAAATCAGGCTAAAGAATTCGCAAATCAAAAAAAAAAACAGCGAATTCTTTTGAAGGAATTTACCAAGCTAATACCGTAAGTTTTGAAGTAAAATTAAATCGATTTTCGCATTTCTCGTCAAAAATATTGTTCGTATTTTCAAAGCTGCATATTTTCTAAAATAATGGATCGATTTTCAAAAAGTAAGAATCGATGTATAGAGAATTAATAGCCCTTTCTAATGACCCCCCACTTGAACCCCATTCCCATTTTAAAAAATTTGGGGGATGGCACCCCCACTTAGGGGGTTGAAGATTTTGCTATGCTTTTTGCGCCAAAAGTTGTCCCTCTCCGAAGCAAACTTTACCTGTTTTTGGATTTTGCCAAAAAGTTCATTACTACCCTGTAATGCCTTGCGGTACGTTTTCGATGGGCTACCCTGTATATGTTTTCAGCCAAGAAAATTGAATAATTTCAAATATTTCGAATTTTCACCACCAAGAACGGCGGTGACACCGTTTTTAACATTAAGGCGATGTTTCGCATTGTATTAGCTATGTCCTGTCCAAATTTTGTTCGTGCAACTCTCTTGGTTTCGACAATGCAATACCTATGTATCTTTTCAGCCACAAAAATGTAATGATTTCAAATATTTCGAATTTTACCAGCAATACCTATATATGTTTTTAGCCACGAAAATTTAATAATTTCAAATATTTCGAATTTTCACTATTAAGAACGGCGGTGACAACATTTTTAACAATAAGGCGATGTTTCGCATTGTATAAGCTATGTCCTGTCCAAATTTTGTTCGTGCAACTCTCTTGGTTTCGACAATCCAATGCCTGTATATGTTTTCACCCACGAAAATTGAATAATTTCATATATTTGGAATTTTTACCACCAAGAACGGCGGTGACAACATTTTTAACCGTAAGGCGATGTTTCGCATTGTACTTATTAACTATGTTCTGTCCGAATGTTCGTGCAACTCTCTTGGTTTCGACAATCCAAGACCTATATATGTTTACAGCCACGAAAATTGAATAATTTCAAATATTTCGAATTTTCACCACCAAGAACGGCGGTGACAACATTTTTAACTGTAAAGCGATGTTTCGCATTGTATTAGCTATGTCCTGTCCAAATTTTGTTCGTCAAAAATTTTTCGGGAATGTGTAAGTTAAATTTGCTTAAATATTACCATGAATATTTCCTTATCAATGGCAAAGTAATCAAAATAATTATTTTTGTTAACCTGACCTAATATTTTTTAAGAGTGCTAACCCTCGAACAACGAATTCAGCTTGTGAAATATTATAAATCGATCCGTTTCGTAGCAATATGCAATATAAATTTTTAATGAAAAATATCCAAACGTGACTGTAGCTTGTAGAACAGTTTGCAAGTTAATTAAAAAATTCGATACATCTGGTGATGAACAGAATATTAAAAAGATAAAAAGAAATACAGCGATGACTGTTGTAACATTCAAACCAGAGCTTGATTATAAATTGCTTGACAGGGATGACGGCCGTCGGATGGACTTTTGTTTAATAATGGTCGAGAAAATGATTGAAAACAAATTCGCTCATGAAAATATTTTATTTACTGACGAATAAACGTTGTCAACTAACGGGGTGGTTTCCTCACAAAACTATTGGTACTAAGGTAAAGAGATGGACAATTAACAGTCAAAATATACAAATACATATAATGAAAATTTGACAGGGGTGATACCGATGAAATCTGAATACCCTGTAGATATGGGGGCCCCAAAAAAACGAATAGTTTTATATTTTTTTTCGTGTCTCTTATGAAAATATGTTAGTTTTAGTTATGTTTTAAGAGCTCCCTCAAAAAGTCAGCTCGAAAAAAGATTTTTAAAAATTTCCAAAATCGTCAAAAATTGATATTTTTTTTTCGTTATTTTATCATTTTCTGGGTTGAAACAATCTTGATTCTGATATTTTCAAATCGATATTTTAATTTCTAAAGGTCACTCATAATTATTTAACTTTAAAATTAGTGTAAGTAGGTACCTATGTTTTCGAGCGACCTCTAAAAATAAATATCAACGAACTAATAACTTTTTTTATTAAATTTGATGAACAAAAGAATAGAAATAAATCACAAGACACTTAAAAAATTTCTCGAGGCAAAATTTACTACCGCACTGTAAATATCAAATATTTATAATTTTTTAATATTTTAAAATTTAAGTGTCTCCTGATTGATTTCTATTCTTTTGTTCATCAAATTAAATAAAAAAAGTTATTAGTTCGTTGATATTTATTTTTAGAGGTCGCTCGAAAACATAGGTACACTACTTTGAAAGTTAAAATAATTATGAGCGACCTATAGAAATTAAAATATCGATTTGAAATTTTTAGAATCGAGATATTTTTCAACCTAGAAAATGATAAAATAGCGAGAAAAAAAATTATATTTTTGACGATTTTGGAATTTTTTAAAAATATTGAGCGACCTCTAAAAAAAATTTTTTTTTTGGGCCTCCCTAATGTAGATAAATACTATTTCTATATAGTTTTGTTAATTTAAATATTATCGTAATAGAAACTGATACTAGCTACATAAGTAAAGATAAATCATATATAACCCTATCAATTTATAACTATACTAATAAATCGTTATAATTTGTCCTAACATATGAATGCAGCTGATATAAGTCCGTGGATGCCAATATTTTAGTATTTTCACATAGATTTTAGAAACTTTCGATTGTCTGTTCCGCACGATAAAGATAAACTTTTTCATTTAACGTTAAAGTAAATTGCTTTAATTGAAACAGCCTTGTTATCTTATAATCTCCTTTGATGTTGATTCAAAGTATAGAACACAAGTACCACTTCAGTGTTACTTAAACTGTACAGCATTATCACAAGCCATTATTATTCAAATTTGTTACAGTCATATCTATTGGAAATATTAGTATTACCTTGGTATTTTTAGCCACATTTTGCAAAAAACGTAATTATTATTAGAGATCGGAAATGTTAGGGCAGCTGCAATGTGGCACAGAGTTGGCTGTACGCCGGGTTCCCTTTTAAGTAATTTTATTCAAACAAAAAGTAACACTAACATTTTGCTACACTAAACGCTTCACAGTACGTACAATATTTGTTGCGATAAAATTCCAAGTAACGTATACGCCAATAAAGTTTTGTTATCAGAATTACTGTAACATTTTACAGCAGCAGAATATTAAACTATAAACATGATACTTTTCGACCGGAAATTAAGTTCCATTCTTTTACTTTTCACCTCCGTTGATTTATTTTTATAAGAAATTACACTAAAAATGCACAGGGCGATACACTTACAAAGAAACACACCTTCGTAACTGAAAAACACTTTTTGTACTGCAAGCTTCTACTGTGAACGCTACTCCGCCAATATCTTTCTATCTTGGATGTCGAATGAGCTTAATTGAAAGAAAGTGACGCAGAGGTCTTCTTGGAATTCTATCTCAACAATATCGTACGGACTGTAAGCATAGTACGTAATAGTAAGTACCAGCAAATGTTAACAAAATAATAATTTCTTACTCATAAGGAAAGTGATAATAGAAAATCATTAACAGTTGCCCTAAATGTTCCGTGGTTAATGGTCTCTGGCGATAGATAGGTAAATATCCATTTCAAAAACAAAAATGACCTTTCAACATTTACCGAAGTTGTAGCACATATCTAGAATAATCGAAATGTTTAATATACTTATGCAATTTTTACTAATAGTGCTTTTGATCTAAAGCTTCGCATCGATCAATTTATTCGATACGTATCTAGCTTCACCCTAATGTCTGCTTTATCGGCCTAGCGTGCCGGTGAAAGATGCCGGTTTTTTATCCGTTGCCGTTGGCCACATATTTCATTGTCGTTTGTGCGTCTGTGAGTGAGTTTGACACTTTACTTGGTGGAGTGTATGGCACGTGTTTTTTGTGTCAGTCATTAGCAGTGTGTATTGTGAGCACAGAGCGACACACGGCTTGACTACATATTTAGTCTATGTCTGCTACTACAATGCGTAGGTATTGTCCCATACTAGCTTAGCCCTTACTACTGTTTATTTATTTTATTGTCGTCACAAAGTTTCCGATGTCTAATTTATTGTTATACCAATAATGTGTAAAATTACAAATCGAGCAAGTGATATTTTTTTATTATATTATATTGTACGGGCACTATAATTAATAAGTACGTACCTGTAACTCAAAAATTTCTTTCCGACGTCCCTTCTGCCCCTGGAGTTTCTTATAATAGTTCTGGAACCAAAAAGTCCATCTGCGACTATGTACAATCTAAAATCGAATTCTAATTCTTGAGCAATATTTTCCAATAGGTCCATGGATAGACCGTAGCAACAGTTTGTGCGATATTTGAACTTATGAAAAGGGAAGAAACGATCGTCGTCGTCACTATAATCGTCTGGGAACTGTTTGTACTCTGAAAATTGGTTCTCCTCCTCTTGTTCGTCCTCTTCTTCCTCCAAACGTTGCATCTCGTTGAAAACTAGAGTTAGATTGTCCTTATCTGAAGTAAGGACCCGATGACATGGAAGACCTGAAGCAATAGATAGCATCAATAATAATAATAATACATTTCTTTGTTGTTTCAATAGTTAAAAACAATGGGCGAAGTTTAGCTTATGCCACTGTTAGACTTAATCTTTAAATTAAAAGTGAAAAGAAAAATAAAGAAAATGACATATTATTAATAAAAGGCAAATATAGTTTCTTTTTTTCCCAGGGAGAAAGAAGGTTTTTTATGGCAGCATTGTAGAATAAAACTGATTATGTCAAGAGCAGTTATGCACGAATCTCTCCACGCCCTCGTCATCTTCAAATCGTTACCCTCCTAGAGTTTCTTTAAGCGACCCAAACAAATGAAAATAGCAGAGGATAGGTCCGGACTGTAGGCAGGCTGATCAAGTTGAGCCCATTTCTTCTGGTTTAGAGACTGGAATCGGTTGGTCTCGTCTTTTGCGGCGATACATGCAGCCCTCAGCTCGTTCAAGAGCTCGCAGTAGTAAGCAGCATTGATTGTGCGTCGCTCATGCAAATAATCAATGAGCAAAATGCGTCACCGGTTGAAAGAACATTGGCAGCTGACAGTCAAGTCTTGGCTTTCACTGGGAGTGTAGTGGTGGACAAACTTTTCGTCGAAGGTGTCTATCCGACTCAAGAATGTATTACATTCTTTCAGAAATATTGCTGTGAGTCTCTGACAGACCTCCAAACGTTTCAACTTCTGATCTGTTATCAAAAGGCGAGACACCCATCTGGCACACACACTTTACGGAACTGTAGGTTATTTGTGATTATTGTTTGACCGCTCACATAACTTATTCCGACCTGTTCTGCAAGTTCGGATACTCTCACTAGTCAATCGTCTTCAAGAATACTGGTCCGATAGTGTTTCTGATTTTCCAACGATTTTCGTCCTTCCTTGAACTCTTTATGCCAGACAAACACATGAGTCTTGACAATGCAATCAATCTCTAGAAAATTTCCATCGCTTGAACCCCTTCACGAGAAATACATTTTATAATTATACGTTGCCCAGTCAAATCCTAAAGAATCCAATAGCTACTATTCAATAGATTATTCCAATCCAAGTTCCAAAAGCTTCTTTTTTTCCTTCTTGTCTAATAATATGAGAAATTATCCTAAAGCCATTTAAAATAAGAATATAAACTTTTGGATGACCAAAAAAATCAAAATAAATGTTTACAAAAAATAGTCTCCACCTCCTGCAGGATCAAAAAATGAAATATTTAAGTTTCGATCAGTATAAAGTATAGTAATTGCACCAGCTAATACTGGTAGAGGAATGAGGAGTAAAATAGCAGTAATTTTTACTGCTCATACAAATAAAGGTAATCTGTCCATATTTATTCCTCTAGGTGTCGTTGTAGTAAGATTAACTGTTCCCAAAATAGATGAAAATCCAGATAGATGTAATCTAAAAATAGCTATATCAACTGAGGAACCTCTACGAGCAACATTGGCAAAAAGAGGGTATCATGTTCCTGCTCCTCTATCTACAATACTACTTATAAGTAAAAGTGTTAAAGAGGGGGAAGTAATCAAAATCTTATATTACTTATTCTTGGAAAAGCTATGTCTGGAGCATCAAGTATTAAAGGCACTAAACAATTTCCAAATCCTCCAATTATTACAGGCATTACTATAAAAAATAATTATAATGAATACATGACCTGTTACAATTACATTATAAATTTGATCATCTCCAATTAAAGAGGGGGTTCATAATTCTGATCGAATTATTAGTCTTAGTGATGTTCCGATTGTTCCTGCTCAAGCACCAAAGAGAAAATAAAATGTGCCAATGTCAAAGGTGTACCTGTTGCTCCGATATCATGAGCGTTGCTGACGAATTGGTTAGGAGTGTGGAATGACTATTTCTCCCCACTCCTAATGGCTCCATCCAAGCATACTAGAAGCGGGGACCCAGTCCTACCAACCGTATAGTAGGAACGTATTCGATGCAAAGTAGAGCAAAAAGTTGTTGGTCTTTTATCAAAGGAAAATCGTGTCATCATTTTTAGGAGGCGTAAGATGAACCATTTCAAATTTAAAATGAAATTCAATGTTAATGAAATACCGCTGCATACGCACTGTGTTCTGGTAGTAGCTGTAGTCGCCCAGGTGCATCGAGTGTACGAACTGGTCGGTTATACGTCAAATACTAACCTGGCGAGCTTTGCCGTCAATTAGAGAGCGCTTCCAAAAAACAAGTAAACAACAGTGGCGCGTACAGAGGTAAAATGTAGTACATATGTGGAATTTAGGAAACAAATTGGATTTATAATAAATTACATTTAAAATAAATAGTTTATGAGAATAAAGGAATTTTTGTAGGAACAAGGGTGCCAGACGTGAACTGATCCCTTCGTCCCTTCATAATGTATAAAGAAATTATTCAATTTCTAAAACCCTTAAAAGCGTATGGCACTGGATCCCTTGACAGGTAATGATTTATTACTTTGCATCGAATATGATTCTACTATAGACGTCCAGGGACAAAAATCTCGTTTATATTTGATTTACCCTCGTATTTCTGCATGTATAGCAAAAAATAAAGAATATGTCCCAGTGGGATCTAGATAGTTTAGGAACTGTTAAAATAATGTGTAATGAACCAGTTTTAGTTTCCAGTTTATGCAAGGCTTTTGCCATTTGTTTTCCCTAATTAGTTTAATTGGTTAATGGTTAAAAGCAATTATCCGCACGCTGATTAATACCGTCCGTTTGCCCTACTCTGACGAGTGTCGCGCGCACGATCTCACCACGACTCCTGCTAGTCAGAAGGGGATCGAGGCAACAAAACCTTGTTTCCTGGACAAAAATAGTCAGTTCGCTACCAGAACTTGAAGAGCTTCAGAACCACTCCAGGGGCCCCAATAAAGACCTGCAACCGCCATTCGAACCCAAGGAGTTAGCAACCGGGAACAATCATCTGGGTACCGAACGTTCAACGAACGTTGTAAGCCCCTTTGACTGAAACTGCTGGTTATTGGTATCCCACCGCCAGTGGAAGACGTTAAGGTGTTGGACTGTACCGCAGCAGCGTTGTCTGCGATAGTTTGGGTGGACATCCCACCTACCTCGTTCGATAAACGCTGTAAGGCACAGTAACTGAAACTGCTGGTTTGGCTGGGTATCCCACCGCCATGCACCAGTGGAAGACGTTGATTGTTTACTGTGCAACGACGGATAGGCCCTCGAAGATTTAGAATAACACCTAATTACTGTTGTCATTGTCATTTTCAGAGACGTTTGAATATACGAGGGTGGTCTGAAAAGTTTCCGACCTAAGAAAGATACAAGACATTTTTTCAGATTTTTTTTTTATTTTTCAACATAGTCTCCTTGTAACTCTACACACTTCTCCCAGCGATGCTCCCATCTCTGTAACCCGTCCAAATAGTACTCGGCGTTTTTCTCTGCAAAATAATTGTTCACGAAGGTAATTGCCTCTTCAGTTGACGAAAATCTCTGTCCTCCGAGCGCAATTTTTAGATGAGGGAACAAAAAGAAGTCGCTTGGGGCTAGATCTGGTGAGTAAGGCGGATGGTAAAGCAGTTCAAATCGTAATTCGTGGATTTGGCAACTGCTGAGGTGTGAGACGGTGCGTTGTCTTGGTGAAACAGGATTTCCTTTTTCTGCAAATGTGGCCGTTTTTCCGCAAGTTCTGCCTTCAGCTTGACAAGTAATGATGCGTAGTATGCTCCTGTAATTGTTTTTCCTTTTTGAAGATAATCGATTAAAATAACTCAATGACTATCCCAAAAAACAGTCCCCATCACTTTCCCAGCCGAAAAAACAGTTTTTGCTTTTTTTGGAGCCGGTTCCCCCTTTGCAGATCACTGTTTGGACTGTATTTTTGTTTCGGGCGTATAATGGTGTACCCAAGTTTCATCTACAGTAATTAATCGGCGCCAAAACTCGGATTTATTGCGCCTAAACTGCGCCAACAGAGCGTTAAAAATGTTCATTCGAACACGTTTTTGATCTAACGTGAGCAAACGCGGCACCCAACGCGCGGACAGCTTTCTCATGTTTAAATGTTGATTTAATATGTGACAAACACGTTCTTTTGACATGTTCATAACCTTTGCTATTTCTCTCACTTTAATTCGGCGGTCGTCTAGCACCATTTGGTGAACTTTGGCGATGTTTTCGTCGGTAGTTGCAGTTTTTGGACGTCCGGAACGTTCATCGTCTCGCAAGCTCTTACGGCCACGTTTAAATTCAGCTGCCCAAAATTTCACTGTGGTAAATAATGGTGCAGAGTCCCCATACACAGAATCCAACTCATCTTTAATTTGCGTAGGCGTATTGCCTTTCAAATACAATGACAGCTCGATACTCCTTTTTTGTCCATTTTCATAAAAACACTCACATCAACTCACTCAAACGACTGTTACATAACAATTGCGCGTCCAAAATGGCTGAAACTTTGGTGAGTAACTGTCAACAGATGAACAACGAAATTCACTAGCTTTTATTTACGTGTGCTGCCATATTTGTGTTGAGGTCGGAAACTTTTCAGAACACCCTCGTATTTGTTGATTATTAACTATGCTGATTTGTTAATCATTGTTTATTTCTAGCAACGACCGAAATTAAAACCGAAAATTGTTTATGATGTACCGATTTTTTGAGTATTAGATTGTTTATTGTAAAATAAACTTAACGTCTAATACTGTATTTGTTTCCCGTACCAATTTTGTGGCTTGCCTACCAATATTTGGTTACACTAATTTTGTATTTATTTACAGCATCGAATATACCGTATAGGTATATTTTTCTTTTATAGTGAAAATCACATTAATTTGTAATTCCGAGGTAAATAATTGCTCTAACCAAGATTATCTAGTCCTTAGCACCTGTTAGATTATTTTATTAATTTACATATGTTAGTTGTTTACAATAACTCTAATTAGAGGCTATTTTACTTTTGATTGTTTCAATTTCAGTAGGCCTTAGTAATATAAAATAAATCTAGTAAATATACTTCCAGTTGTATTCATTCTT